CTATTACAGAATTAGAGGGTTTTTTTTTTTTTTTAGGTCTGTGTATTTTCTTATATTTTTATGTCGTAAGTTGTGTCTCTTCACTTCAGCTCGAAGAAATCCTTTCAGCATTTCTTGGAAGGCGGGTCTAGTGGGGACGAATGCTTTCTGCTTCTGTTCGGGGGGACCTTTATTTCTCTTTCATATCTGAAGGGTGACTTTGCCACACAGAATTCTAGGCCAGCAGGTTTTCTTTCAACACCTTGTGTCATCACACTCTCTCCTTTCTGGCCTATAGGGTTTCTGTTGAGATGTCCACTGAGCGCCTACAAACGGTTCCTTTCTGGGTGATAATCTTTTTTGTCCCCCTTAGCTGCTTTTAGAATTCTTTCTTTATGTTACATTTTTGACAGTTTCATTATAGTGTGTCTTAAAAATGTTCTTTTTGCAAGGAGGTATTAGGGTGATCTATTACCCTCATGAACTCGGATGTCCAGTGGGCTCCCTGGGTTGGGGAAGTTGTCCGCCATCATAACTTCAGATACGTTTCCTGCCCCTTTCTCCCTTCTTCTAGAACCCCACTTCTAATATTTGTTCTTCTGACTGGATCCCAGAGTGCACGTGGGTTTTCTTCGGTCTTTTTCATTGTTTTGCTCTGCACTGACTGGGTTGAACATCCCAGGCCCGGACTCGTTCATTCTTCTGTTTGTGCTGCTGAAGATGAGCCTCTATTGTCTTTTTCGTTTCATGGGTGGTTTTCAGTGCCACGATTTCTGCTTGGTTCTTTTTTGGTGATTTTTATCTCCTTGGTAAATATCTTATTTTGAACTTGTGTTTTTTTTTTTTCATTGAATTGTTTTCCTGTAGCTCTTTGAATTTCTTCAAAATAGCTACTTTTTAATTCTTTATTACCTAGGTCGCAAAATTCATGCTTTTAAGCTTGGTTACCAGGGAATTATCTTTTGATGGTAATGTTTCCTGGATTTTTTTCATGTTCCTTGTTATCTTTTGCACTGTTGTTCTTGCATTTAAAGAAGCAGACACCTCCTTTGGTCTTCGCCAGTCACCTTCAGTATTCTAGCTGCGGCTCTTACTAACTGGCTCACCTCTGCCTTTGGATGGGACCCTCTTTTAGTCTTCTTGTTCCCGGTGGCAGAATTCTTAAGCTTATGTCTTCTGTGGTTCTTAAAATTTGGTTGACTGGCTACTGGAAACCTCTCTCCTGTCTTCCCAAAGGTAGTGCCATGTTTGTGGTTTCTCCCTTGTCCCTGATCCTGGGTCTTTTCTGATCTCAGAGCCTGCTGTGACCGCTGTACCAGAAGCAAAGGAGCAGCTGTGGAGCTGGGGTTGTGTGGGTTCTGCTCCGGGGCACTGGGGGGGGTGTCCTGACCTGGTGTGGAGGCAGCAGGAGTGGGGGCTCTTGGAGGTTGCTGGTGGACCCATTCCTGAGCACGGTCGTCAGGAGCTCTGTCTGCTCGCCGGCCTCCAGTACCTGTCTCCGCGTCTGTCCTCCTCTCCTCCTCCTGCCAGCCACGGAGGTCCCACTTGGGGACCTCTTGGGCGGTCTCCTGGCCACCTTGCCACACAGAGGTCACTGCAGCCGCCATCAGGCCTGCCTGGTCTTTCCTTGCACGTGCAAAGCAGAGAACCAAACCGCTTTCAGGGTTCCCGGATTTCTGTGGGGTCTCTCTTTTCTGTGGGTATCTGCTCAGGCCAACACTCTCCGGGTGTTTTGGGGAATGTGGCGAGCAGGGATGGGGCTGGTTCTTGGCTGCATTGGCTGCACAGCCCACGGGAAGGTGTGTCCGCCTGTTGCATAACACACAGGTGGACTGGCCTCTTCTGGGTCCTGGGCATGTGCTGCTTGACCCCATAGCAAGCAGACGGGCACTCTGGTTGCTGGATAAAGGTCGGGTTCGATGGGGACCATCTTACCCTCATAAGGTTGAGGCAGTCTAGTGCGCTCTTCTTGTCCTGAACGGAACTTCCCCCATGTTTTTCTTTTCCCCGTTCATTAACCAGCCTCTCGAGCGGTGTTCTCTGACCATCTCGCACCAGCCCCTCTTCTGTAGTCACCTTCGCTAGTCTTTGGCGCCACGAGTGGCCCCTCCTCCAGTCCTTCGGCTTCCTTAACCACGGCGGATCCTGTTACTCTCCATGACCCTTAACCCTGTAGGCCTCTTTAGCAGAGTTTTTTTCCTAACTCTTCCTGATTTAAGTCATACGCACTGTAAAAGTAAAAAGGAGAAAAAGGAGTCATCCCCAAATCGATACTGGGTCTTCTGGAATGCCTTTCTTGCTAGCTACCTCCTGCTCACTTTTCAGAGTTCAGCTTGTAGATCAGACTTGTTGGCCTTCCCTAGTTCTCCTTTCTACACTCTGTGCTTTCTCTATACCTATCATCTTGTACTTTTTCCTCACTCATGTAAGTCTGGTTTGTAAGCAGATGTTGGACATAGCTGATACCTTCACTAGATCATCAACCGTATGGGGACAGGTAATGTCTGTCCTACTCGTGACTGTATCCCCGGCATCTGTCTTCTGAACTCCCGCGGTGTCCTTCCTGCACCTCCAGTGACACTCGGCCCTGTTCCTGGAAGACCGGGCCTGTTGTCATTGCAAGACTTACACGAAGCCACTCACAGCCCTCAAGGGGCTGATGCTAGCAACACGGTTCTCCACTCTGAGCAGCTCAGGGCCTCTGCTTTCCCTCCAGTGGGAGATGAAGACGTTGGACTGGATCCAGGTTTTCGCTCTGTCATAGCAGTCCGTAGGCCTCGGGATCCCTGGCCGGGGCTGCCCAATTGAAACGTCACGCTCTATACCTCAGACTCTGAAACAGGAGCCTCCCCTCAGCTCAAACTCTGGCAGGAACGGATGGTTTCCTTGTCAGCTGCCAGGTGTGGGCCAGGCGCTCGCGCATCCGTGGGCATAGTCAGCCGTGGCCTCCGGAAAGGGAGGGACGCAGCATCACCTGCTCAAAGGTCTTCGAGACAGTTGCCAGCCACACGTGAAGGAAACATGCCGGTCCAGAAGGAGATGGCTGAAAGCCTAAAACTGGCAACTGGATTTTGAAGACTTACTGCAAACAAGCATGATAAATAGCTGATTAATTGATATATTATTGAAATATTCTGGACACATTAGATTAAGAGGTATACGTTGAATGTCACCTACTCCTTCTAATACGGTGACTAGGAAATTTAAAATTACTTGCGTGCCCGCACTGAAGGGGCTCATCTGACAGCATTCTGTGCATTTAGCACGGTTCACCCTCCGGCACCCTGCCTTGCTGGCCAACGGTATCCGCATCACTCGGAAGATTGAGAAATGGCAGAGCACCAGCTCCTCTGACCCCAGACGTCCCAGCTCAGACACTGCATTTTAGTTGGATTCCCAGGTGATCCGCATACATGAGTCTGAGAAGGTCTGATTTAAGTCACAGTCACAAGACCCCCATGGCCTCCCTGCCCAAGCCCCTGGATCAGGGATTTTAGTACATACTCTGGGATGATTTTACACCTGAGGGACCTCGAGGGACCTGGACCCTTCTAGGGTGTGGGGAGCCTGTAGATGGGCCGGAGGAATCTGTAAAATACTAAAATTTTATGCAGCTTATTTTGTGAACATAGGTGGCTTTTCATGGAAGAACAGCTGTGTCGCCAACACTAGGGAAGTGCTGAGCAGGGCAGAAGCTGGGGGTGAGCCCAGCAGTGTCCCAGCGAGCTCGCCTGCGATCCTGACGTTCAAAGTCGAGAACCATGCGCCAAGGCATGGATGAGGGCTAAGCCATGCACTGCCTGACGGTCTGGAGGGTGACGCCGGCCTTTGCAGGTATCGGTGTCACGGGATGGATTTGATACAAGATGTGGTCCGTGTTCAGCCTAGCATAAGGGGTAAGAAAATGGGTTTTGAAGTCAGACCTAAATTTTTCAAGAAACAACGAAAGTACTTTCAGTGTTTCTCAGGACTGATGAAAGCTTAAATGTTTAAGTGAACGATGAAGACCTGCCTCCACGGAGAGCCAGTCGCCCACGGGTAAGCTACAGCGCGGGGTCACCACGGGACCCGGCTGTGTTTGCTGGTTTCACCCGTTCCCCTCTAGCAAACCAATTTATTAAAGTCAGTTTTTTTAAATACATTTATTAACCAATGTTAACACATTAAATGAATCTATATATTGCTAGTCAGAGCAGCTTACAAAATGCCAGAATGCATCGTAGAACTGGACAGCCACAATGAGTAATTACAATGTGCGTAGTGGCTAAGCTCAACACCTTGATATAGCTTTATGATTCGCAGAAAATTTTTATAATGATTCCTAAAACAGTTGTAATTTTACCTAAAACTTTTACAAAACCAGGCCACAATCTTTTTTTAATTTTGTTTTTTCTTTTTTTTTTAAACACACAGTTTTCACACTGTAGTAACTTGGAAATGTGCAACCGTGTCAACGGAGACAAAAAAAGCCAAAGGAACACGAATCTTACTTTCATGCAGCTATCAGTTAAATAGTACATACTCTGGAATGATTTTACACCAAAAATATTTCCACAATAACTTGCTCTCATAGGGGTGGATCGAAGTTTTAAAACTTGAAAAACAATCAGAGAAGGTAAGCGTTCTCGGTTACAAGGTGTCAGTCAGACCGTGGCCCCCGGTGACGCTGACAGCCGCACAGCGATGGGGGGACGAGACGCTGCTGGACAGCAGCTTGTCGACTGACTCGCCTTGGCGCCCGGACAGCATCAGGCCCGGATGGAGGGTTATTTCACAGAAGACTTCGTTACTTTTCCATCTTTAGAGTGACCCTGACAAACCTGGAGAAAACTTTTTAAAAGGTTTTCCTCCTGATTCTTTCACTTGCATGGTGTGTAATTGCTTTAATAAATATCAAAGGACTAAATAAATATTTACAAATTATTTCTCTAACCTTTAAAAATAACTAAATGATAAATGGGAATTTGACTTCGTCTAAGATCAGTCATTGAAAAAACAAACGGTGAGATTTTTCTTTTAAAAAAAAGTAATTTAAGTTTTCCTGGCTGAATTTTATATATCTATGTATAAAAAAATCCTTATTCAACTATCGATCCATTCCTATTGGTAATGCTTCTTAATCCAGACATTCCGCAAAATACAGACTTTTTACAAATCACGGCATCTTTAATACAAGAAAATTAACATGCATTATTCTTCATTCTGTGTACAGTGATGGAGTTCATTAGTGGGCAGTGACCCATTACTACAAACATAACGGCCTCTGTGAAACGTAAGTGCTTTCTTTCCCTTCAGCATTAATTTACAATGTACGCAGTGACACCAGATAACAGGCAATCAGATGATACCTGGGGAGGGAAGGGAAGCATTAAAGAAATTTGTATGCCTCATCTGTAATTCCATGGGTGGAGAAAGGTAGTTTTTGGCTTTTTATTTTTTGTTTATCTTGTTACAAGCACTCATGTTAGGACAAAGATGAAATGTGCAAACTTTAAAATTTAAATATTCATTTTCTCTAAGATCCAGCTCAGTAAAAGATTACCCCAGTTCCCTGCAATTTTAAACTACAAGATCAAAGCTAATAATTTGTTATAAAAGTTATATATTGAAAAGAAATAATGAAAAACACAATTGGGAAATATTTAAGAAAAAATACGCAGGACTAGCACCTGCCGTGTCAACCCTGTTCCCTAAATTCAATCATATACCCACTGGCATAACCAACAGATAATGCCTTTAAACAGTAAATTAAGCTGAACAAAACCAGCTCAACAAGGCTAAGAAATAAATTTCACATCAAGGTAGTATGTTTTATTTCTGAAACAGTTCTGTAGTTCTTACATTCAGATCTATTTTAAATGTGTCTCTGTTAAACTCGCTTGTATTCACCTGTTGTTTTTTAAAGGTCTGTTGTTTAAAGGTTAAAATCTCTGTAAAACCTAAAAATGTTTTAAAATTTGCTGAAAATGCAACAAATTCTCAATTAAAATTTATTTAAAATAATACCCTCCACTGATGTTACTTTGACCCCCTGAAAAACTCCGGAGGAGCATTAACAAAAGATTTAAACTACTGTGCAAAATTTCTTCACGAAAAGTGTTTAAAGGCTGGTGCAAAATGGGAAGCAAATTCTAAACAATTTTGGCTTCTTGGAAACAAAAACCGCTGTGTCTGCGGAGACGCGCCGGCCCGGGACGCCCGCCTTCATCTCTTCCGACGGCAGGTGCGTTTGTGCTCCGCGTGCCAGTGCTCCTGCTGGCACTTGATGGAGCAGTAGGACGTGTTCCAGCAGCAGTGGTACATGGCCTCCTCCTCACAGTTGTAGCACTGCAGGGAGAAAGCAGGGCCCTGGTTAGACCGGCAGGCCTCGGAGGCGCTGCTCGCACACACCGGCGGGGCTCGACCTCCAAGCACCACCCACGAGGAGACCCGTGTGTGGTGCGCAGCGGGCCGGACAGCAGGCGACGCGGAGGCCGCGGCGTTGGGTCCGTCCCCGGCTAGCGTGGGCCTCCCTGGCACACGAACTCCTCACCTCTAGTGCTCGCGGCCAGCAGCGGACAGATCTAGAGAGAGTTCCGGAAGGACGGGAGGGCGGGAAGCACCAGGCATCTCGCCCCGCGTGGGCAACTGCATCACTAGAGTCTGTCTCCAGGAACTATTTTGGAGAACTAGAGTCTACTGCAGGCTTCCAAGCTCCGGGGGAAGTTGAGGACAGTAAATTCTGATGAATTTTGGCCCATCTGGGCTCTTAGCACAGTAGCAAGTGCATCCCACCGCCAGCTGCACATAAGCGGCGGCTCAGGAAAGACCTGACAAGGCCTCGGTTTACGCCTCAGACTGAGTCTCGGCACAAAGAGCCTACGACAAAAATGGGCAAACCCGAAAAGGGGGAGAAAACGAGTGCTAGAGTTACCCCACAATTAGACTCAAACGTCCAGTGTTCAGCCCCACAAAAAAATGAAATAGTAATATTCAAAGAAAAATAAAACTGTCCCTGAAAAGGGCCCAACAGCAGAGGTTATTAAAGACCTTTAATAGCGGTTTTAAAGATGCTCAAAGAACTAGAGAGAGATGTGGAGAAAGTTAATGACGTGTGAACACAGTGGAAATTCCATTAAAAAGAAACCAGAAAGAAAATCTGGACCTGGGAAGTCCATTGGCTGAACACTGGTCCTCTGCAGGCAAATCTGAGCAGCAGACAGGACGGGAGAAAAGTGAGCAGAACCTGAGGGACTGCGGGACACTGTCCATTGTGCCCGGATACATGATCTGGGACTGTCACAGAAGGACAGAGGACAGGGTAGAGATCATGCGAGGAGATAACGGCTGTAAACCTGTCAATCTGAGAGGAGATGTGAACACAAACACCGAAGACGCTCAAGGAACTCCACGTCAGAGTCAACGAGACACACATCTAGACACGTTATCTCCCAACTTCCGAAAGCCCAGGTTAACAGAAATCCTGGAAGCCTACAAGGGAAACAGTCATGCACAGAAGATCATCTGTGTCACCGCCAACCTTGTCATCAGAAACTCCAGAAGCAGAAGGCAGGTACCGTCGATGCAAAATCTGAGATTCAGCAGAACTGTCCTTCTAAACGTGATGGATAAATTCTGAAATTCCCAGATACCCCAAAGCTGAGGGACCCTGTGACTTGTCCTGTAAGAAATGCTCGGGGGAGCCGTGCATGGAGAAGCACTTGAACACCAGCCAGCACCTCCGAGTTGTGAAGAGAAACACTAAAGATTCCGGCAGAGACGAAACCGAGAGAGAGAACCTGGGAAATCCAATGTTGGCGTTTGGTCAATGTTCTTGATCTTTTCACTAAATGGACTGAGAGGACTCAAATTACTAACATCGGAAATGAAAGTGGGGACCTTATGATTGATTCTACAGAAATACAAAGGAGTTTAAGAAAGTACTATTAACTATTCCACATTTGAAAACTGAAGAAACTAGATAATGGACAAATTCCCAGAAGAATAAAACGTACCAAGACTAACTCAAAGAAATTTAAGCACATTGAATGACTAATAAAAATCTCAATAAAAAGAGCCCTAGACTTGCTAGTTACTCTAGTAAATTCCAGCATATAGTTAAACAAGGACTAACAGCAATCCTTCCCAAACTCTCCCCAAACGCTGTAGTATAGGAAACGCTTCCTACCTCATCCTGTGAGTCCAGCATAACCCGACAAAATGCAACACACCCTTCGTGATAAAAACCACTCAACGAAATAGGAACAGAAGGAAACAGCTGCATACAAAGAACCCGGAGCAAACATCACACTCAGTGAAAACCTGGAAGTTTTTCCTTTAAAATCAGGAACGAGGCAAGAACCCACTTTTGCCACTTGTATTGAGCAAAGAATAAAATACGTAGGAACGACCTTGGCCACGGAGGGGGAAAGCCTGCACTACGACCACCACCAGACACTGCTAAAGGAACTCCAGACACAGACAAACGGAAACCCGCCCCGCGTTCATGGGCCGGAGGACGTCCTGTCGCTACAACGTCAACGGGACCGACGCCATCCACGCGTCCAGTGCCCTCCCTATCAGAAGCACTACGACACCGCTTTCAGATGCAGAAAACCCATCCCGAAAGTCGTGTGGACTCTCCACGGACCCAAAGAGCCAAAATGACCCCGAAGAAGAACCGGGAGGACTCACACTTCCTCCTTCCAAACCGACCGCACAAAACTGCAGTAACCAAACCGCGTGCTGTTGGCACAGAGACAGACAGACGAGGGGAGGGGGACAGACAGCCCAGGAAGAAACCTTCACGAGACAGCGGAAGGACTGCTGACAACGATGCCAAGACCCCTCGACGGGGAACCCACAGCGTCTTCACCAGACTGAGCTGGGAAAACTGCACGTCCACGGGGGGGGGGGCGGGGGGGGGGGCGGCCGGACCCCGACCCAAGAGCACACACACCGCTTAATTCAAAATGGATCAAAGACCTCGACGTAAGGCCCAAAATGATAAAACGCTCGAAGAGACGTAGGCCAGAAGCTTCGTGACACTGGATTCGGCAATGGTTTCTTGGATGTGACTGAAGGCACAGACCACCAAAGGAAAAACAAAGCTTTCCTGCAATCTTACTGTAATTTCAGTAAAGTCAGAAACAGCTGAAATGAGTCCCAAGTTTGAATCTTGGGTGTGTGCCAATGACTCCTGTGAGTTTGGGCCAAGTTTTTAAACTTCTACCTTATTCCTCATCTGTAGCTAGTATTTCCAGCAGCACCCTCCTCTCTGTCGAGGACCCTGACAGGTTCTTACGCGGACCCGTCTCGAGGGTAACCATCCCACTGTTTCTCAGCTGTCGCTCATCTTAACATCCGTTTTCCGGCATCTGTCAACCTGTGAACTTTTTGATCTAAGATGTGATTATAACAATAGTTTATGCTGGAAATGACAGGATGGACAGAACGTCCGTAGGGACTCTGTGTAATCTCATAAGCGTCAAATTCCTCATCAGAAACAGCGGGGAAATCAAAAGCAGTTTGCTACTGGCATAAAAACAGATGCACAGAGGAAGGGAACAGAGCAGAGCCCAGAAGTAAATCCACACCAACACGGTCAGCTAATTTACAACAGAGGGGCCAACAACACAGAGTGTGGAAAAGGCAGGCTCTTCAGTAAGGGGCAGTGGGAAAACCGGACAGCCTCATGCGACAGAATGAAACCAGACCACTTTTGTAGCCCAAACACCAGTTAACTCAAAATGGACTAAATGAACTGAAATGGAATGCAAGACCTGAGAGCTTAAACTTCTAGAAGAAAATAGGCAGTAAATTCCTTGACATCGGTCTTGGCAATGATTTTCTGGATTTGACACCAAAAGCAAAAGCAACAAAAGCAAAAAAATACAAATGGGACGACATCAAACTAATAGTTTCTGCACAGGAAAGGCAATAATAAAATGGAAAGGCGGCCCACATAATGGGACAAAATATCTGTCAATCTTGCATCTGATGTATGTGGTTCACGTCCCAAATAAACGATTCCTACAACTCAATAGAAAAAACCTGATTTTATAAGTGTGCAAAGGGCCCGCACGGATCTGTCCCCAGAGCAGACCGCCAGAATCACGAAGGACGCTCAGCATCACTGACCAGCGCTGCAGGGATCGCGCACACCTGTTGGAACGGCTAAAACCCACGGCACAGGAAATGAGGGATGTGGCGAGGATGCGGACAGAGGGCAGCCCCCGTGCACTGCTGCTGGGAAGGCGAGCTGGGGCAGCCGCTCTGGACGACAGTGTGGAGGGTCCTCAGAAAGCTGAAAATGAAGCCGCCCTATGATCCAGCGATCCCACTGCTGGTGTCTGCCCAAAGGAAGCAGAATCAGGACACGGAAACGATACCGGCAGCCCCGCGTTCCCTGCGGCGTGTTCACCAGAGCACACGGCCAAGCGTCTGTGAGCGGTGGGCGGACGGGGAAGATGCGGAGCAGACACTCGCGGGAGGAGACAGAAACCCCGCTGTGGCCACGCGGAGGGCGATGGGGAGGGCGGTGAGCGCGGTGAGCACCAGGAAGAAAGCAGCCAGCGCGGCTCGGGCGGCCTCACGGCGGGGAAAGGCTACCCCGCAGCAGCTCCTGCCCCGTCACAGCCTCCTCTGCCTGTTTCCTTGAGTCTTCAATAAACCTACAGGGGTTTCCTCCTGTAAGTCTAGCGCCCACTCTCTGGCTTTCTCTGGTTGTTGCCGGAGGACAGAAATACAGACGCCGCGCTGGGGCTGTGTGCCGGAGACGATCTCGAGCACACGGTTTCCGTACTCATCTGCTTTTCCTACAAGTTCTGAACTTCCCTTTCTTTATCACAGTGTTTACAACGCTCACTTTCCTGAGCGAACTTTCACTGGAGAAGGAGAGACCCACTTCAGAAACCGTCGTCGCGATCCCGTGAACAATCACGAGACGTCTTACCGTACTTCATCAACACCAAGGAACCAAATTATGAGTTTTGGGGAACGTTTTCCCCAGCAGTTAGCTGAGATGGGGGGACAGGTGTGCTCAGAGCTCCCAGTCTAGGGGAAGAGTCACAAACACAACACCAAGAAAAAGGAACCATGTGTCAGATTCTAAGAGGAGTTGGACCCAGTGACTGTCCCCTACAGAAATCAAGTCGAGGGACAAGAACTTGGTGTGTAAATGTCATGCAGCAAAACCAAACTCGTGCTGTCGTGATGCAGGCACTAAGCGTGTCAGGACTGGGCCATCACTGGCAGGAGTCAGCGGGCAGACGTCAGGGCACGGGCCGTGCAGGGACAACCAGGTCCCACCCGGACGTCAGGGCACGGGCCGTGCAGGGACAACCAGGTCCCACCCGGACGTCAGGGCACGGACCATGTGCAGGGACAGCTAGGTCCCACCCGGACGTCAGGGCACCGGCTGCGCAGGGACGACGAAGTCCCACCTCGCAGACACGTGAGCACGTCCTGAAGGCTGCTGTCCGCAGCCTGCGATCCTGTCAACACTCGCAAGGTGGACGCGCACACAGAGGAGACGACTCCCAGTAAAAACGTAAACCTTCCTCACGGCCGACGGTCTGACCTTCCATCTCATGCCGGGATGAACCCCCCGGCCGCACAAGGTCTGCCTGAGCGGGTTTCCCCACAGCATTCCCGCGTCCGCACGCGGGGCACGTTCACGACGCAGACCGCGAGGCCACGCGGCTGCTTACCCACTGCTTCTTCTTGGTCTGCGAAATGAGCTGTTTGTGCTGCGTCGCCAGCTTCTTGATCTCCTCCACAAACTCCTCCTTACACTTTTCCTTCACCTGCTTACATTTCCTGTCCATCTCGCCCTGCATATTGGCCACCGCTTTATTGACCGCCTGTCGCTTCTCTTCCTCCATTTCGGAGCGCAGCTGCAACGAGAGCGGCAGCCCGTGACCGGCCCGCCCGCCAAGAGCCCGCGCCCAGGGTCTGCGGAGCCGGTGGTCCTCCCGCCCTGCTCCCAGGCGCCCGGGGGCACGCAGGGTCCCAGGACCGCGTCCCCACGCTCCCCCCGGGAGGGGCTGCCCCCGGGAGAGGGCTCCGGTCGCGCGCAGCCCACGGAGGCCGCTTTACCTTCTCCAGAGCTTCCCGCACGACCCTCTCGGTCTCCCGCTTGTGGTCGGACTTCATGCGGTCCTTGAAGTCGTTGAAGATCTTGGTGTACTTGTCGTGGCACACGCTCTGGCACAGCCCGTCGCCGCTGGTCTGTGTGCTCCGGTGCAGCATACGTGGGGAGGAGGCACTTAACTTCTTGGTCTGAGTGGACACAGACACCTTTTCGACCGGCGGAGGCATCGTGGGGATCTCCTGGCTGGAACTCACGGCTTCCGTCTCCGGCTCTGGCTCCTGCAGGACAAGGACAGTGCATGTGGGACAGGCCGCTGCCCGCCAGTCCAAGAGCAAGCCCAGTCAGACCAGCACGGCGGGGAGGGGCCGTCACAGCCTCGTCATCGGGACGGTAAACTCTGCACTTTACCACGGCTAACCCAACGAAAACCCCCAGAACTTCTAAGCAATTAATAGCCAAGATAATTCCAAACAGAAACTGTAGAACTTGGTGGCAAACTCACACTATGGTCTTTTCTTCCCAGACTAAATAAAAACATCCTATAAGATATAAAGCCAGTAACAGCTCAGAGTCACTGCTACGGACTAAGTTCATTAACAGACACCCCAGAGTTCCGAACCACAGACACGTCATTCTGAGAGTCCAAGCTTGGACTCGCCCGGGTTTTGAACGCCGACGTGAGGGAGCGCTGGGGCTGGAGCAGATGCAGCCTGTGCTGTGCACAAGCGAGCTCTTCCCGGGACGCGGGCGGGCAGACAGGCTCCCTGACGCGGTGCTCGTGAGCGCCACGGGGCACACTGCCGTGACCGAGGCGTGGGACAGGTTTCCTGGGGCCGCGCGGCCCAGACGCTGCAACGCAGCCACTTACTTCCTTCTTGGGTTCCACGCTTTGATTGCGTCGTCCCTTCTTTGCTCTCGGTTCTTGTGTGACCTTCAGCTGTGGGCATGAAACAGGGACGGCCTGTTACTCCAGACAGTACGACTCCCCGGTCATGGGCCCACAGGGGAGACGCGAGTCGCCCGCTCCCGTGCGCACTCTGCTCCCTCCAACCGCGTGGCCCCCACACCCAGAGTTCCCCGGTGGGGGCGGGAATGCTGGGCCCCCGCACCGGCCGGGTTGCCGGTGCATCGGGCCCGGGGCTGCGGGCAGCCCGGCAGGGCCGACGCCTCTGGCTGAGCGCTTGGGGGTGTCTGTGCGGCAGGCAGGAGTGCCGCGAGTAGAGCAGCAGGAACGTGTGCTCGTCCCCCGCGATCGACAGGCCACCGCTCGCGGGGACCCCCACCTGCTCGTTACTGGTGGACGAGATGCTGGACTCCGCCTCCTCCTCCCCCCGGTCCTCGTTCTTGGACTTCCAGAACCTTCCCTCGCGGAGGAAGCGCTGGTGCAGCTCCAGCTCGTCACAGGCCCTCTTCCAGCCCATGCTGCGCTTCACGTGCAGCCGGTGGACATTCACGGTGATGTCCTGGATGTTCTCCGACGGGATCCAGGCCCTGCGAGGAGCACCAGAGCGCGGTTAGAAACTTCCAGAAAGCCCCTACATTCCACCCGTGCAAAGCAGGCCCCGGGGCGGCTGCACGCCCTGCGGCCGTGGGTGAGACCCGCTGTCCGAGCAGACGACGCGCGCCCGGCACCGCCTTGGCTTCCCTCAGCCAGGCCGGCGGCCGCAGCTCCCGCCCGGCGCGGAAGGCGCCCACACCGGCTCGGGCAGACGAGAGCTGCAGGCCGTGAGCCCGCACGCACCGCAGACACGACGCGAGGGCGTCCGCGCCCGGCTCCCTGCCACGTGGCGCTGCCAGCACATCTGCACTCACTTCCCGATCATCACTAACGCTGCAGCGTTCAGCCAAGGACTCGGACACGAAAATAAGCGTCTCTGAATGATGTTAATACTGACCCAAAGTTACTGGACACAAAACCATATGCAGTTCTGGGAAGAGGCTAGAACTCAGGAACAGCTTCCCGGGCGCTCACGCTGCGACTGCACTTCCCCGTGTGCCCAAAAGGCACCACACCTGCTGCAGGGCGACTGCGTCCTGAGCGTGCGAGGGAAGCCGTTACCACGGGGCAGGACCGGGCGGCCCCGGCACACGCGGAGCCTCTGTCCGGAAGGGACCGCGTCCCAGCAGAGGGGATGGCACACGTGAGACAGACGGCGGCAAGGCGCACGGGACTCTCTGGAGCCTCCAGTCCAAGTGTGCAAGTGGCACCTCGGACACACAGACCCGCGTTTCGCGTCTTCTGCGTCACTGCATGCGGGCAGCTGCCGCTGCTGGCCGGTGGCAACGGGGGACCCCGGCCCGAGGACCAAAGAGACCGAGGGAGTCACGGCACGTGGGCCTCCGCCACAAGTGCAGACTTCCGCGTTGCAGCACAAGCCCCGTGCTCTGCAGGGTCAACACGTGGTCCTCACGTCCCAGGCTGGCGGCTGGAACCGTGGGACTAGGCGGCCATGGCTGCGTCTGTCAGTGCCCTGCCCACGGCGTCCCACCTGACGGGTGCGCTCCTTTAGCACCCACCGAAGCGGACAGCAGCTACGACCCCCGGCTCTCCGACGAGCAGCGGAGGAGATCGGGCTCGTGGGACAGCAGCTGCCCCTACTCTCGAGGTCAGCAGCGCTGGTGGGGCGTGCGGTACGCACCGGCAGTCACACACGGTCACCTGCTACCAGCCGTGCTTCTGAGATCTCCGCGGCTGGCCGTGGGGACGGCCTGGTGAATCTGTGACCTAGCCCAGCAGTTCTCAACTTGAGTCACATCTGTTTACCCCCTGGACATGGTAAAATGGATTCACATCTGCTCTTAACACGAGACGTGACTGTGTGCGTGCGGCTCAGACGGAACCCCTCCGTGACTGGGAACAGCACGTTGCACTACTGAAGAGGACCGTGGGTTACGCGATGTGAGCCACAGAAAACGCCCCGCGACGTACCGTGAGTCTAACACGAGAATCTGAATTGGCGGGATCTGTGCACCTGTCGATCCTCAATGCTCTGAACCACTCACTTCCCGACGGCTCGGTGGTCTGTTGGCAAATGAGCTCGAAATCACGTGCTTCCCCTGCCTGTGACTCCCCACGGGCTCCGGCAGAGAGGCAGCCTTGGTGGCGTACCCAGACCTCGCCCGCTCCTTCTCCCTCGGGAAGGCAAGCTTGCAAATCCCGGAGCCTTCCCTCCCGGAGGAAGACCACCTGTTCGGGGTCTGGGGAGGGGCCGTGCGTCCTGTACTGAGGACACAGAAGGGACGAGTCCAAGACCATTTATCTGTGTAAGATTTTCTCTCCCACCAGAACGGACAGGACGAGCTGTCAAAAGCATTTATTGGCAGTGACGCTGGTGAGTGCGCGAACGTATTCAGGACCACTGAGATGGTCACTTAAAGTGGTCACTGTCAGAATGGCACAAATGAGAACCTGCGACCGAGGCCTTTACCAGCTGCCTCCTCTGCGTGTGTAAACTCACTGCTTCACGAGAACTGGTGATCAGTACCGCATCAGGTTCATCTTTTGATGAATCGAGTATTCTAATAAGATACAGTGTCACCTTTAAGGTACGTCCTCATCATTTAAGGGCCGTGTTGGGCACCCCGTAATGAGCAGAAAAGGAAAAGGTTCTGGATTTCCTGTGAGGCTGTGGGTCTTCAAGGGCTGAGCCGTGGATAGACACGTAACCCACAGAGTATGTTGTCAGATTGGCTGTTCTCAGCCAAGGGTCTGGGTGAGTCAGAAGTGAGATATGAATTTCCGACCATGGGGGGTTGGCACCCCCAGCGTCACTCTTGTTTGATGGCTAACTGTATTTTCCACGATCAAGTCCTCAGAGCCCCATCTGTCCAAAATTGTTTCGATTAAATCTTCCAAGAAATAACAAATTCAGGAGAAAAAAAGTCTGGCAATGTAATGTTACGTTGTAATTCTCTCTTCAGAACCCAACCAGATTAGCTCACATATTCTTTTAAAATATGATCTGCATAATATACTAAATGACAGAAAAATACCATTCATGGTTGAAGATGCGTAAGGCTGTCTGAATGTGGATGAAAAACCGGAAAAGACGCGCTAACCAGTTCGAGCATTTTACCAAACACCCGAACTCTTGGTTTTTCTACAGTATCTGACGTCACAGGGATTCCCGTGGTCACGCAGACCTTTAGGGCATCCCTGCTGCACACGACCCACCAAGCCTGGGTGACGGTGTACGAAGGTTTCACGGACCCTTTTGAGACCGGTCTTGCTGCAGCCCACGCCGCGGGTGACCGGACAACGGGTCCACGCTGGGAGGCCAGGAGCGGAGCCGGACACTGTCCTCCGGGTCCCTCCTCGCGCGCGCTGCCGGCTGCCTGTCCTGATGGCAGCCAGGACTCGCCGGGAGGGGCAGGAGAACAGCGAAACCAGCGCAGCTCACCCCCCCGCATTACTTGGGTCTCCTGCCCCGAGCGTCCGCGACGCGCACGCCCGACTGCGCTTTTGGAAATTCGCTGCGGGTTTCTTGCCACGAAACCTGCCTTTTTGGCTTGTTCAGTTATTTCTTTTCAATTTTTTAAATTCTTTATTTAAATTCCAGTAAACTCTTGCCACTGAACCTCTATTTAAATGAAATGAAGACGACGGAGAAGAACGCTGTCCCTTGCCGTGTGGCTTCCCACAGTGGTGACAACGGCGCAAAGCCTACGGGTCAGGCCCACAGACGGCCCTGAGGCCCGCAAAGGCCTTCGGACCATGTCACGGATGTGGCGCCTTCTCTGCAGCTGCGTGCGGAGAACGCTGGCAGTACCCCGTCAGCCCTGCTAGTGACAGTGTAGAGGACTTCAGTCCTCGACACATGCTGAGGCCTTAACCTCCCAGTGAAGGAAGCGGCTATGATTTCGTAGTGGAGTTCACAGTCTTTGTATGAAATAATGTGCAAAATGAAGTTTACAGTAACAAAAACCGTTCTCACTGTGGGGACCCATGTGTTCTTGCATGACAAAAGGCCAACACTTAGGCTTTGGTATACGCATCTCCCTTGCAACAGGAGCCTGAACGTCTAACTTGGAAACAAGGTCTGGGAGTGACATGTCTGTAATTCGAACACAGCTTCCTGGATCACAGCGTCCACACAGCCCCCGGCTCCCAAGTCATCAACTTCTGTGTGTGGCTCTGAACGGAGCCTGGGGAAGAGGACGGACACCACGTCCTGTCATCCCAAACCAGGGAGCGGCTGTGCTCTAGGCGTCCTCCCAAACCCCTGCCTCACCCTGTCCCACCACGTCAGGCACAAGCCACTACCATTTCACTCCATAAGCCCAAAAGAAACCAAGACCAAAAAAACCCCAAACAAACCAACCCAGGAGGTAAAAACGACAAAGCCATTAGTGATTTCCTGTTCTGGGTAGCAGGTTTCCTGGTTTTATTAACTTTTTCCCCCTGTACTTACGTATCCTATTGAATTTTCAAGAAAAAAGGAAAGACAATGAGCCAAAATAAATCAATGCGTAACAAAAGGAAAAAAACAATGGATAACGATGGGAAAAAAAAAGAAAAAAAAAGTGACGTGTGATTTGTTTCTCCAAATCAGAGTAAGTTCCTGCCTGTTTCTGACAGAGGGGCCCTCCGAACACCACGGCCCACCTGGTGGGCACCCGGGGCACCGGGCGGTCAGTGATGGACAGGCCATGCTCACCGTTGGTGATGGTGACCAAAGAAGCGGACGTCCACCTGGTTGTCCTCCTTCTGCAGGACTTTGGCGGGCCAGAACCCAAAGCCTTTCATCTTGGCCCAAACGAGCTCATGGTTAGGTATCTGGAAATAAAATGTTTTAGCATGTCACGTTACTTTTAAAGTATTAAACGGAAGCACATCATTAATAATGAACAATCTAGTAAGTACAGTCCATTATCCTGAAAATGTTTTAACTCCTAAAAACATAGAAGTTTTTCTCAGATTGGTTCTGCCTTCAAGAAAAATACCTAAAGACTGCAACCTGCATAAAGCAGCGGTATGGAGACTCAGCTCTCCGGACAGACAGGCTTCAGCATGCAGGGGTGAGGCAGTCCCCGCAGCCAGCCGACGCATGTGCGGGATGTGGCAAATTCCCTGTCCTCACCACCGGGAGCGGCACACCAACACCTGGAGCCAGTCATGAAGGGGAGTGGGAGGCCCGGTCTAGGCTCACCAGCTCAGAGAGACGCCACAGGCCTGGGAGGCACAGTGAGGTCAAGAAGCAGCCGCGGGCGCCCAGGGCCCGGGTGCTGCCCCTCCAGTCCCCGAGAGAGAGCACCCTTCCTGAACTCACATCATCCCAGGGGACAGCACAGCCACAAGCACCCACAAAACCTTACACTTCCTGTGAAAGAATGAGGGGAAAGGCAGAAATTCACTCTGCGATATATTCAGGGGCCCCGAGTTTGTTCTTAAGTTCCTCATTTCAAAGTCAGAGATGGATAATGATGCCAAGGTGTTCACCCTGTGTTCCGGGTTTCGTAATCATCAAAACCATGTATACTGAATACAAAGAAAAATATCGAGGAAGGACTGTAATCCTTGAGCACACGGGGAATAGCTTCCTTAGAATAATACATCACACACTTAAGAGGTAAAAAACAGAAAACCACAAAATTTCACCTACGCAAGGATAGCAGAACCAGTTGTCAGGACGCGCGTTGGACAGATAGAAGCAGTTCTTGCAAAGCTGTAGTTCGTCCAGCTGGAAAAGAAAAGCAACTGTTGCAGCCACATGCAACACGGGCGCCCAACTGTGCAGAACGTCCGTGTAAATTAACACACGTTTTCCTTCGCGGATTGTCAGGCTCGAAGAGTCTTTCTAAGTTTAACCATTTCATTTTTCCGTAAACACGGGGAGAGCGGCCACTCGCCCGTGCGCACCACCTGCACGTCTGACCTCCGCGCTCAGCCCGGGGCCTGCATCCCACTGGTCAGCACTCACACGACATGCTGCGTCCTCACACAGGCCCCGCTGGCCGGCCCCCTTCAATACCCAGGACCAGCAACAGCAGTGCGTGCGCCGCCTCGATCCTCACCCTCTCCGTCAGTCCCTGTTGGCCTTCCTGACACTCTTTCACGACTTGTAAAGAAATATATTTTGTCTGTTTCTTTTTTGAGTTTTTCTTCAGAGTACAGCCCCATGAGCAGAAAGCAGTACCTTGTCCACCACTTTATCCCTAAAATACTGCACAGCACAGAGCAGACACTCAAGAAATATTTGCTGAATAAGAGAAAAAACAAAGGCCAAACTTGAAATCAAGAAAAAAGAGTTTTTTATATAAATTAAGACAATTCTGCAAGATTTAGTATGGTTTCACATGAGTGTATCAAATCAAAAGGACGTTCCCTAATATATATTTCATTTATTGACTGAATAAACTGTGTGCAACAGTTTACTGTATGAACTCTGTTGTTTGGGTTTTTTGCCTGTGAAATCTATCTTGGAACTCAAACATGTATCTTTCATTCAAAGAGGAAACATTTCTGCACAGTGAAGGAAATGGTCAACAAAACGAAAAGGCAACCTAATGAATGGGAGAAGATCTCTGCAAATGATATATCCAATAAGGGGTTAATATCCAAAATATGTGAAGAACTACCACACCTAAAAACAAACAAACAAACAAAAATTCAATTAAAAATGAATAGGAACTAAACAGACGTTTTTCCAAAGACGACATACAGATGGCCAACACACACGTGAGGAGATGCCACGTCACTGGTCATAGGGGAAATACAGATCAGAACTACACTGAGCTGTCGCTCACACCTGTCCAATGGCTCGAACCAACAACCAAGGAAACAGGATGCAGACAAAGGGGAACCTCAGGCACTGCTGGAGGGAGCAGGCTGGGAGGCCACTGTGGAGAACAGTACAGAGGGTCCTTAAAAAGTTAAAAACAGAGCTGCCCTGGGACCCAGGAGTCCCGCTACTGGGTGTCTGTCAAGGAAACCAACCGCTAAGCCGCAGGGATACGTGCTCCCCGAGATCACTGCAGCGTCATCTGCAACAATCGTGACACAGAGGCCACCCCAGTGTCCGCGAACTGACAACTGGACGGATGGGGGCGGGGCCTATCCTTCTCAAACTATTCCACACAACAGAAAATGAGGGGAAAACTCCCAAACTTACTCTATGAGACCCTGATACGAAAACCAGATAGACTCCACTGAAAAAGAGAATTATAGGCCAATATCGCTAATGAACACAGACGCGGAAATTCCAATAAAATATTAGCAAATCAAAACCAACAATACATAAATCATTCAACACAATCAAATGGGATTTATTCCTGGCTGCAAGCATGGTTCAGTATTCACAAATTAATCAACATGATTTACCACATTAATGAAACAAAGGATAAAAACCACATGATCATTTCCGTAGAGGCAGACAAAGCGCAACATCTAATCATGATAAAAACCCCCCAATAAAGTAGGTATGAGGGAAAATACCTCGATAGATAATAAAGGCCATCTACGAAAACCCACAGCATCTTCAATGGGGAAGAAGTGAGAGCCTTTCCTGTATGGTCAGCAACACAAGAAGGATGTCTGCTCTCACCACTGTTACGTGTGACAGCACTGGAAGTCCTGGCCTCAGCAGTCAGACAACAGAGAGAACTAAAAAGTCATCCAGGGGCGCCTGAGTGGCTCAGTCCTTTAAGTGTCTGCCTTCGGCTCAGGTCATGATCCCAGGGTCCTGGGATCGAGCCCCCCGTCAGGCTCTCTCATTCTCCACTCCACCTGCACTCTCTCACTGTCTCTGTCTCTAATAATTATATCAAATCTTAAGGAAGGATGGAATGAAGGTCATGCAATCCGGCAAGGAAGAAGTCAAAACGTCCGTTATTTTCAGATAATGGCCCACACCTTAAACTGCAAAGATTCCACCAAAAAACTGTTAGAACTGACAAACAAATTCAGTAAAGTCACAGGTTACAAAATCCATGTATTGCAATCTGCTGTTTATCTATACACCAGTCCTGAAGCAGCACAAAGAGAAATTCAAGAATCAATCCCATTCAATACTGCACCAAAAACAGATAAGATACTGGGAAGAAGCCTGACCAAACAGGAGAAAGAGGCGCACACTCTGCAAACCGTGAAACACTGAGGAGAGAAACTGAAGATGACCTGAAGAAATGGAAAGGCGTTCCATGTTCATGGACTGAAAGAACAGATGTTGTGAAAATGTCTGTAAGGCCTAAAGCAGTCTGCACGTTGAATACCAAAATACCAACAGCATTTTTCACAGAGCTAGAACAAATGATCCCAAAATTTGAACGGAATCACACAAGACCTCAAATAGGCAAAGCAATCTTGAAAAAGGAGGAAAAAAAAAAAAAAAAAGGCTGAAAGCTTCACAATTCCAGACTTCAAGCTGTATTACAAAGCTGAGGTCATAAAGACAGTGTGGTTCTGGCACAGAAACAGACATGAGCATTGATGGACCCGGACAGAAGACCCAGAAATCCACCCATGACTATATGGCAATTTATCTGTGACAAAGGAGGAAGGAATACGCAGTAGAGAAAGAGTTTCCTCAACAAATGGTGTGGGGAACCTTGGACAGCCACATGCAGAAGAATGAAACCAGGCCATGTTCTTACACCACACACAGAAATAAACTCAAGATGGATCAAAGACCTAAATGTGAGAGAGGAATCCATCAAAATCCTAGAGGAGAACGCAGGCAGCAACCTCTGTGACCCCAGCCACAGCAAATTCTTGCTACACACGTCTCCAAAGGCAAGAGAAACAAAAGCACAAAAATGAAGTACTGGGACTTCACCAAGATAAAAAGCTTCTGCACAGCAAAGGAAAACATTTGACAAAACCAAAAGACAACTGACAGAATGGGAGAAGATATTTGAAAATGTCTTATCAGATAAAGGGTTGGTAACCAAAATCTATAAAGAACTTCTTGGACTCAACACCCAAAAAAACAAATAATGCAGTCAAGAAAGCAGGGCAGAGGACATGAACAGACACTTCTCCAAAGAAGACACACAAATGGCCAACAGACACATGAAGAAATGCTCCACATCACTCAGGATCAGGGGAACATGCGTCGAAACCACAGTGAGACGCCACCTGCACTCCCCCGTATTTACCCCAACGATACAGATGCAGCGGAAAGAAGGGGCACCCATTGTTGCAGCAGCAAAATCCACGGGCGCCCAGCTGCAGAAGGAGCCGAGGTGCTCCTCAAGAGACGGACGGACGAAGAGGACATGGTTTGCACACACGCGGGAGTGTTAAGCAGCCCTATAAAGAATGAAATCTTGTCATTTGCAACGACGTGAATGGAGCTAGAGGCTGTAAAACTGACTTAAGCGAGTCAGAGAAGGATAAATACCGTTTAATGTCACTTATCTGTGGAATCTGAAAAACCAAACAACAAAAATAAAAGGAACTCATCACCACAGAGAACAAACTGGTGGTTCCGGGGCGGGAGCGGCGGGCGTGGTGAAGGGGACTGTCATGACGGCGGCCTGTCTCAGCGATGGGCAGGGAATACTGCGGGTCACAGTGTGCTGATGCCGCGTGGCGCAGAGGGACTCCCCTCACCCAGAGGCGCAGTGAGTGACGCGCGGACTTGGGACCCTGGTGCTCACCCAACACTGTATGGCGACTGTGCTTCAGTGTAAAAATACAAATGAGCCGAACATTTATTGAGTGTCTGCGCAGTGCCACATACCCGCCTGCCTCGTGGAACCAACGGCCCTGAGAGCAGCTACACAAGAGGAAACATTTCTCTGTACAAGTTACTCAACAACTCCATCTAACCCCCAGGTTTCCTAGAGAAATTCTCCCTTCCATTTGCGTTATTTTCCATGTACGCCGAACATGGAAATAAAACGATTTCAAGGAAATGGCAGGTTGGAGGCATGTAAGCCGTGGCCTCCGGAGGGGTGGGCGGTACCTCGTGGCAGGTGTCCTTGTACAGCATCCGGGCTATGTCCGCCTGCTCGCTGTCTGCTGTAATTAAAGGCAGAGATGATCTATTACCAGTCATCTAGAAACACAAGACGATCCCAAGTCATACATTTACAGCTTCTTTCAGTGATAAAAGTGGCCACGTACTATTTTAAACAAAAATGTCTACTTTAAATAAAGTTCAGGCAGCAAAACAACACTTTCTGTGCAGCTTTCATGTTGCTTTCAACAGAGTACTGAAGCTCTAAGTGCAGAGCAGCCTGTTTCTCTCCTTCGGAATGACAGGACAGTAATCAAAGTGCTGATAAAAAAATCCCTCGACTAAGTTTGCGTCTGAAACTGTAGGGCATGCGGTTTTCATCATTTAGTGAGCTGGAGCCTTTGGGCACTTTGATAGGCCAGAACCACATTACGAAATATTTTTGAGTTGAAACCCTGACGTTACTGCTTAGAAATCATGAAAGTGTTCATGTTCTGAATCGCGTTTTATCGAAGGCATCTCCTGACCCAGGATGTGAACGGTATGGGGGAAACATGCACAGAGAAGAAAACCATTCAACCTCCGTAGAAAATCACGGTGTTGTGCAGAAGCAGCTGCGCGTCCGCCTTGAACTCTTCATAGCTTCGGTACCTCCCCTCGTTCACCTTCTGCAGGGGGCGACAGGGTCTCGTGTTACACAGATGGGGTCAGAGCACGGGCGCGCGGCGGGGACTTGCCGGGACGACGCCACGACCACTCCCGTGTCCCACAGCATGGAAGGGACACGTGTGGGGACCCGGACAAGCCTGCCTGCAGCCAGGATCGTGGGGTCCGGCGGCCACCCACCCCGCTCAGCGGCCAGCTGGGCCCTGCCCAACGCGCGTGCCCCTCATTCTGCGGGACGAAGACTCGCCGTGACGAAGGAGAGCCCTGGCCAGGGGGCTGGCGAGACCTGAACAACACAGCCACCGTCTGTACAGCACACGTGCACAAAGACTGAAAAAAGACAACCACCGTCAGCCTCTGGGATGCTTTTTGTCACAGAGAAGAAGATACATTCATAATTCTGAAGCGGGACCAGGAACCCAATTACAAGTAACTTTAAAATAAAGTCCTAGGTGTTCCTCTGTGTACCAAGGCAATGCAAGGGCTTCTACTGCATTACATGCTGCATCTAAAGGGTTTCCATCGCAGGGCTTTCTGTTGCTTTGCCTTTAGCTGCCAGGGAAAAGGATTATGGAGGGAATTTGAGGATTTTTTACAGGGGAGGCAAAGTTTTTGGAAGAAAGGTATAGCAAAGTTATTTAGAGGTAGCACGGAGGGCTTTTCTTATCTTGGTGCTACTTTTAGGAAATCAGCTTGAAAGTAATGTAGAATACAAAGGCCTCCAGAGTATCTAAGGTCCCACGGATCTGGTGAAATCCCCAGGGACCCACTGCGGTTGTCCGTCCTGAGAAGGCTTGCAGGAGTCCCTGTGCTGGAGGTGCCTGCTCCGGCCTGCCATCGACAGGTCACAGAGCGTATTCACAAACACCAACATCGGAGCCCCAGTCTGAATTTCTGACTGCCCTGGGCTCCAGAGGCCCAGGCACTGGCGTGGTCTACAGCTCCCAGGTGTCTGATACACACCCAACATTCTCAAAGCAACTTTGTGATTTCTGATGTTGGCACCATCGTGGCATTGACTTTGGTTTGAACTGTAAGCTACCGGAGATACAAAATCTTGTCTTCCTCTTTCTCTTCCTTACAGAGCTGTCCACTCCTGGATGCCACCCGCACCCCCTCACAGCGCCATCTGCTCCATCGCCCCAGCTCGTGTGCTCAATTAGACGGGATCCAACTAGGCGGAGCGTGGAAGGTGCCCTCAGGGAGAGGAAGAAGCCAAGCCAGGGTGGGGCTGTGCAGGGGGAGGAAGGGCAGCTGGGGTCTTCATCGTCCTCAGGGACGTTAGGGTTTAGGAATAGAGGCTTTGCTTGAGGACATGAAACCTGGGGGTAGGAGATGAGGTGAAAACTCCCTGTTTTGTTCCAGGCTCTACTGGCCACCTTCTAGGAACAGCCTTCATCTCCTCCTTTACTGAACTACTACACCTTCAGTCCTTCCCAGCGGCCAAGGGGACTGAGAAACTTGTAAAATGACTCCAGATGATTCCTGCGGTCCCCTATAGGCTATTATGGCAACCACAAAATCTTAAATTCAAAGTGACATGCCAAGTACAGAATTAGTACTTCAGCAATCCTAACTGGAAACATGTTAAAATGTTCTACTGGATTTTACTGCAACTTGTAATTACATATTAACAAAGCCATCAAAAAACCTTGGCCAGAAGAGGTAAAATTAAGCACTCTTAAGAGTAGTCAAGTTTTGGGGCTCCTGGGTGGCTTAGCCGTTAAGCGTCTGCCTTTGGCTCAGCTCATGGTCCCAGGGTCCTGGGATGGAGCCTGCATCAGGCTTCCTGCTCAGCTGGAAGCCTGCATCTCCCTCTCCCACTCGCCCTGCTTGTGTTCCCGCTCTCGCTGTGTCTCTCTCTGTCAAACAAATCAATAAAATCTTTAAAAACAAAGCAAAACCAAACCAAACCGGAGAGTTAAGTTCTCGGATTCTCATCTTCGTGTTGCTCAAGTTCAGTCTGTTGCTTCCCAGGACCCCAGTCCCAGGCACTCCTGTTTCCTTGAGAGACGCCCACGCAGCATCGCTCACGTGAGGAGAGCCCACCCCGCTGGGGAGCCCCGAATCGGGGCATCACCTGAGCCCACCACACCGGCTGCTCCGACTGAGCCTCCAGGAGCTCCGGTGGCTTCCCACCGGGGCCTCCCACCGAGAACGCCCCGTCCGTGCACAGAGCAGCGCCGGGCCCTTTACGTTTAGGAAGAGGGTGGGCGGGCAGCCCTCGGGAGGAAGGGCACCGGAATCCTGTGCGGCTGGGAGCTGTGGAGTCACCTGGGAGCTCTGCGGTATGGGGAACAGGACCGAGGGCGGGCTTTACCTCCTGGATGGTGGGGACGTCCACCGCCGAGTGCACCAGCCTCCGGTACATCGGGTGCTTGTTGTCCTTGCCCTTCTTATTAAGGTCTATGGCCTGAAAGGTCAGCAGACACACGTTTCAAACACAGCCCAAGAGAGACAAGTGAGACAATTCCTAAACGACAGAATTTACCAGAAAACGTATGTGTACTCTATCATTTAAGGCGACATTTTTAGGGTTTTGATAGAAAGAACAATTATTTTGGAAAATTCCACTTCTTTTTGGATGTATCTGTTAAATGTTCATTTTGATAAATGTATTAAAAATGTAAAAATATTAATGTTTCTACAACACAGGAGGTAGGAATATATAACAGGGAAAGGCCATCCCTTCCATAAAGCGTGCTGCGAAAATTGGGCACTTTTTTTTTTTTTAAGATTTCATTTATCTATTTGACAGGGGGAGAGAGTGCACAATCAGGGGAGGAAAGGCAGAGGGGGAAGCAGGCTTCACAATGAGCAGCGAGCCCGATGCAGGGTTCCATCCGAGCCCCTGGGATCATGACCTGAGCCAAAGGCAGACACTTAATGACTGAGCCACCTAGAAGCCCCGAAATTGGACACTTTCTTACACCTATATAAACATTAACTCAAAATGGAGTAAAGACCCAAATGTGAGACCTGAAACTACATAAATCCTGGAAGAAAACACAGGCAGTAAACTTCTGCACATCAACCTAGCAATATTCTTCAGAGATATCCCCTGAGGCAAAGGAAACAAAAGCGAAAATGAACTACTGGGACTTCATCAAGATAAAAAGCTTCTGCACAGCACAGGAAACAGTCAACAAAACTAAAAGACAACGCATGGAATGTAACAAGGTATTTGCAAACGGCCTATCGATAAAGAGTCAGTACCCAAATTCCATCAAGAACTTTTTAAACTGAACACCCACAGAACAAATAATCCAATCAAGAAATGGGCAGAAGACATGAACAGACATTTCTGCAAAGAAGACATCCAGATGGCCAACAGACATATGAGAAAGTGCTCCACATCACTCGGCATCAGGGAAATACAAATCAAAACCACAATGAGATCCCACCTCACGCCAGTCAGAATGGCTAAAATTAACACGTCAGGAAACGGCAGATGCTGGCGAGGATGTGGGGAAAGGGGAGCCTCCTGCACTGTTGGTGGGAATGCAAGCTGGTGCAGCCACGCTGGAAAACAGCATGGAGGTTCTTCATGATATTAACAATAGAGCTACCCTACGACTCTCCAACTGCACTACTGGGTATTTACCCCTAAGATACAGAAGCAGTGAAAAGAAGGGCCATCTGTACCCCAATGTGCACAGCAGCAATGTCCATGACAGCTAAGCTGCAGAAAGAGCCCAGACGTCCTTCACCAGACGGACGGATAAAGAAGAAGAGGTTTATGTACACAAAGGAATGCCACTCAGCCAACAGGAAGAATGAAATCTTTCCGTTTGCAATGACATGGACAGAAGTACAGGGCGTTACGCTAAGCAGAATAAGCCAGTCAGAGAAAGACACACACCATATGATTTCACTTGTACGCGGGATCTAAAAACAACCAACCAACCAACCAGACTCTTAACTACAATGAACAAAGTGGTGGTTCGCAGACAGGGGGAGCGTCGGGGATGGACAGGAATAGGTGCAAACTTCCACTTATAAAATATGTAAGTCATGGGGCGCCTGGGGGGGGGGGGGTCAGTGGTTAAGCATCTGCCTTCAGCTCAGGTCATGTTCCCAGGGTCCTGGGATCGAGCCCCATGTTGGGTTCCCTGCTGGGCAGGAAGCCCGCTTCTCCCTCTCCCTCCGCCTCTGTTTGTGTTCCCTCTCTGTGTCAATTAAATAAAATCAATAAATAAAATCTTAAATAAATAAATAAGCAGGTAAGTCACGAGGACGACCAGCAGCACGGGGAACACAGCTAACGGTGCCGTCCTCGCGCTGTGTGCCTGTTCTTATTGGTGAGCACGGAGTTGTGCGTACAAAGGTCGAATCATGGTGTTGTACACCTGCCAATAATATGCTATTGCATGCCAACTACGCTTCAATTAAAGATTTTGAAAAATAAAAGATGAAACAACAGAAATGTATCAGCGGAGACAAACAGTGTCAGTCTCCTCTACTTCAGCTCTAGAGACGCCTGACGAAGCAGAACAAAGGAACTCGGGCCGCAGCATTCTGCACCTGATGCCGCTGTAAAGGTCCCTGGTGCGCTCTCTGGTCAGGAAGGGACGGGACGTGTGCTCTGGGAGGTCCCGACCACCCGGAGGACTTACCCGCTCTTTCATGCGGGAGACAATGAACCGCAAGTACGTGCTCATCTCCTGTTTGTTTGTGTTTTTCTTCTTGATGCTCTGTTAAAAACAGAAAAGGCCAGATATAAAATGTGATTATTTACAGGTCTGTATTCATGTAAAAGACTTTTATATATAAAAGATACAGTCTGCAAAGATTGTATTCAAATCTGCACTATTTCCAATGTGTTTGACACCAAGAAATCCTAAACGTGCATAGCATTTAATGTGACAGTAAAACGGAAACAGGTTGTATTTGACATAAGACCTCACAGAATTACACAGTTTTTCTTGATATTTAGAACTTCAACCATTTTCAGATACAACGAATGGTAACGTAATAATGACATGATGTAGAATCACTTATTTTATCAAAAAAAAAAAAAGAGAGAGAGAGAGAGAGAAGAAAAGTTGGCCGAAACCCTTTTGGGAACATTTTAAATCAGTAATACTGAAGGGTGAATTTCGACATACACGATTCCTCTAAAAGGTTATTAAAGTCCACGTCACCTGTGAATTCTGCACAGCACAGCTGCACACCTGCTCATCTGTTTTCAAGGGTTACGGGGTCTGTTCAGTAGTAACCCCAATTTCTATCAGCCTGACCTGAAGAGCTAATTAGGTTCTTCAATTTATGTCTCAGAAGATCTAAATTCATGCAAAGAGAAAAAGATGGGACTCTCCCTTTCATGTCATTTCTAGACAGCACGCAAACAAAGATGAATGTCCCACTTCCTCCGTCGAGGCTGAGGCCTCCCAGCAGCCCCCGCTCTATGGAGGCCGTCCCGCGTGGCCGACTCGGTGCGGACAGCACATCCCGGCGGCCGTCACCCGCGGGCCCCCAGAGGACGGGTCCCTGCCTACTGGAGCCACTGCTCCTAAAGGGCTGTCCATGCCGGATGTCACCCCAACACAGTGGCGGACTGGAGGCAGGAGCCAACGTTCCCCAGGTAACTTCGCTGGGGCGTGTGAACGGGTCACCCACACACACAACACTAAACCACCTGAACGGAAAATGGACAACTGCTTTCTTTCCTGGACGTGTGGTTTCATGCACTTCCCGTTTCAAGTGGTGCCTTCCCGGGGCGCCTGGCTGGCTCAGTCGGAAGAACACGCAACACGTGATCTTGGGGTCATGCGTTCGTGCCCCACGATGCATGCAGAAATGACTTAAATAAAACTCATAAAAACCGTAAACAATAACCCTGACCCCTTCTTTCCACTCCTCACCTGGACTGTGGTACGATTACTGCTTCTGCCGTGCTGGACTGCCGTGTGACCCGTGCACACGGCGTCTAATCAATACCTGGCACAGAGCAGTTGTGCAAGTCTGTCCATACCCAGAGACACCGGTGAACTTCCGGGAAACACGGCTGGGCTTCTGCCCAGCAAGCACAGCCCAGTGACCAGCGAGCACACGCGTGGTCACACCGGGATCAGCCATCTCTGAGGGAAGGTCCCTGGGCTCTCTGCTCGCTCACACACCTGCTTGATCCTCAGGTGACTGGGACACGTGACCGAGACGGAGCACCCCGGTCAGGTCTGGAGCGGACCACACGAGGACACTTCCTGGACTCCAGGTTTAGAGTCACGGGGGCGGGGGCAGGGGCAACTCTGCGGTAACTTGTAGACTCTCATTTTTCACAAGACCCCCAGCAACACGCGGGAACTACCAGCGGCTGCCCCCAAAGCCAGCCCCACAGAGAAGACATCGGTGTGCAGCTGTGTGCACACAGGGGAGTGTGCGGGGCTCTCCGGGCAGGGGAAACATGGTCAGATATGTTGGACAAACATTCTTGCAACATGGACGTCCTCCCACGCACCGCTCTCTACAGAAACGAGCACCTGATGGACTGTCAGAACCGGAGAAGAGAAGGGGTAATAGGCCAAGACGACCACTGCTCTGCTCACCGGTGGGAAACCCACACTCTCTTACCACAGAGGAGAATGAAAACAAAGCTTCCAGCTACATGCTCTATCATGTTAACTCCCAAATATTTTGGATGTGCTACTAAAACTGCTGACCGTAGGTATCCATCTGATCACGAATCTGTGTAGATGCAAATAAAACACCAACCTGTTAACAGGTCACGTGTCCTGTAATTTTAACCTGTTTTTAATTTTAACCTGTTTTAACAGGTGTCGTACAATTTCCGGGAAGTTCACAAGCAACAGGTCACGTAGCGAAGCGTGATTTCCAGGCCCCACACGTACTATTCCCAACTTCCCTCGAGGAGGCAGAGCGGGAAGACTCTCCTCTCTCAGCCTTCTAAGTACCTCCAGCCCAACCCAGGGAGCCCTTGAGAGCGCGGTGGAGAGACTTGGGGAACAGCTGCCCTCGCCGAGCGACTGGGGATCCCACATTTGTGCAGGAAGATGGTTTCCCCTCTGTGCTCAACAGCAGCCCATGCAGTACTTCACTCTTCATGTGAATCTAACCCCTCTTCTTTGTTCGTTAAGAGACGGAGAAAATAAATCGATTCAAACACCTCTGTCAGGGGCGCCACGGGGGCTCCTTCGGTGAAGCGTCTGCCTTCGCCTCAGGTCATGATCTTGGGGGCCCGGGATGGAGCCCCGCATCAGACTCTGCTCAGCGGGGAGCCTGCTTCCCTTCCTCTGCTCCCCCCCACTGCCTGTGCTTTCTCCAATATGCAAAATCTTAAGGAAAAAAAGAAAAAAGCCCAACACCCTTCCCCAATCTCTTGAGGACAAACATGGGTTCTTCCTGCAGATGTCAGACGATGCGGTTCTGTGCCTGGACCTCGGCTCCCTGGGCACTCCCAGGGGGTGGCAAGTGCCTGCTTCCCAGACCCGCTTCCCAGCCGTGGGCCTCGATGCGGGAGCTCACGCCAACAAGAGACCCTGCATGCACGCGGCCTCTCCCCCCCGCCGTTTCCGAAGACCAAGCATTTGCCGTAAGATGCCTGCACACTTGCTAAGCTGATGGGCTTGCGCTCTGCCCCCTCCCTGCTCTAACTCAGAGCTTTACGGTTTCACCGAAGAAAGGAAGGACGCGCTGCAGCCTCCCATCAGGGCGGCACCGTGAGGCGCGAGATCTCCTAGCGACAGTCACAGCGTTTCAACTGTGCCAGTTCAGCCAAACCAAGACACTGAAAGCGGCTTGAGAAAAAGCCACTTGAACAGAAATTAAAGGAGCAGCTTCTCAGGTAAATGCGACTCTGTCTGTAACATAACTGAGCAGATTGCTCTTTAAAGCAAGGTCAGAAAAATAAAACTAAAGCTTTTAGACATCTGCAGGCTATTCCAGACCCAATTCTTCCTCAGGCTTTGCGGACCTGTACGCATTCTCTCCTTGCAGGCCGCAGGCGCCCTCAGGAAAGGCCTCTCCGCAGCCAGTGAGTTCCAGTAACTTCACATCGGCACAGAGGGATGACTCCGGTCAGTGTCTACAAATAATCGGGAGAACCTCAGCATCACGTGGCCAAAGTTGCTGTAACGGTTTTCAGAGGACAATGCTCACGTGGCCGCAGGTGTGTTACGAACGTGTGAGACTGGAGCGAGAAGCTCTCAAACACACGATAGTTGGCCGAGAGGCTGCTTTCCTCCTGGGGAAAAGAATGGACGATCTGAAACATCATCTTGAGTCAGGGATGAGTCGGGGACTCGCCACCATCACCAGAAGTGCGAGTCCAAGCAAACTGGAAGAGGCTGGGTGCGAGCCACAGAGAAAACACGAGTCCAGTACTTCAGCCACACTCAGGACTTATGGTGGTTTCGGCTCAAAGAAGGGAGGAGTGACTTCTGAGCCCCAGCTCATTACTGACAAGATGCCCACGCACCATGACAGGAACGAACACTCACGCCTGAATGGTCTGGAATTTTTAATGTTCTTTAGGGACCCAGATTTTCAGCTCCAGAAATGTATCTTAGCAAAAAACGAACTTGTGGAAACAGTATCTCAGCACAACTAGACCCAAATGAAACCAGTGTGCAATCAGAGGTCCAGGGGTCTTCTCCTTGGACCCCAGATCTGTGCTGCTAGACTTGAGGAAATCCAAGCCCCCCAGCCTGAGATTACACAAGACAAGGACGTCACACTCTCCTGGGGGTCCCCAATATCCAGACTATTTTTCCTGCCATAGGGCCAGATGAGCAGTTGACAAACCTCCTCTGTGAAGGGCCAGACGGTCTATAGCTTAGGCTCGGAGGACAAACGGTAGGAGTCTGTCCGCACCACTCAACTCTGCTACGCACTGAAAAAGCAGTAACGCTCTGCGATACTGAAGTCTGAATTTCTCAGGATTTTCACATGTCACAAAATACTTCCCCTCTCTATGATTTTCTTTTGACCATTTAAAAATGTAAAACCCACTCTAACCTCATGAACAGGGCACAAGCTGGCGGTAGTCTGCCAACCCCCAGACAGACTGTGTTCTGTGGAAACAGGGTTCCCAAGGGTCCAGCTCAGCGGGTGTCTGCCAAGGCCTTGTATAGTATGTGCACACAGTAAGCGCTCAATGAATACTAGCAGAGGAACCGCTGGTAGTCGTTAGGACTGTGTCGCCTGCTGGACAGAACATCCCACACGGCTGAGCTCAAGTACAGGAAATCCCTCCCCGCCAGACGCGGGACTTGGAGCTGGTTGTCGGGCTTGGGCCGTTCGAAGCCGTTGTGTTCAGTGCGGGTGTATCAGCCGCTTCGCGGCCCTCCAACACCTGACACCGCCTCGCCCTCCAACTGCAGAGGTCCCCGACGGCGTCCGTGAGCTCACCGGGCCACCGGCTGGGCATTCACGCACCCCACGGCTGTGCGCTCCACAACACCCTGGCCGCTGTGGCGCCAGGGACCTCACGTGTCCCTGCGGGAGGAACACATCTGCGCCGAAGTCCCCGCAGCACGGGTGGAACCGGCGGCCTCGACGGGTCCCTGAGGCCACAGCACAGAAGGTCCCGGGGCATATTCTCTGCACCAACACTGCCGCTGTCGCCCCGCGAGGCCCGGCGTCTACAGCACCCTCCGCAGCCCCGGGGCACGACGCGGTCCCTACTCAGAGGAAGCACCCAGGTCTGAGGGCCACGCAGTAGAGCTGGCCTGGGGCG